CAGTTCGCGGACGTTTCGGGCTTGGGGACCCTCTTGTTACTTCAGTTCATTTGACGTAGCGACTCCCATTCGGAAGCCTTTGGCTGAGGAAGTAGGGAGGAACCGGGACCTTGCCCTCATTTCTGTGGTGCTTTCCCTTCTCACGGGAGTGTCGTCAAGTCTAGTGAGCAGACTGCGGCCTTGGTCGCTTCTGCACATGTTCGGGTGACAGCGAAGTCAAAGTACATCCCAACCACAGAAGACCCGAGTAGATATGATCTGCGCCCAGCAAGAGCTGTGCAGGTGCTCTTTGGTGGCGAAGTCGCTGCAGACGTTTGCCCTTGCCTCGAAATTCACCCTTGGAATATCTTGAATGGGAACCCCAGGTGTTCGCCCACTCTTGGCCAGCTATTGCCTTGGATGCCCTCATCCCAACATCGACCTTGCGCAAGCCCATTGCTCTGTTCCGTTCTTGCCTTTGCTCGCTGTTGGTGTCTTTTGCGAGGCTGCAGCAAGACGGACTGTCCAGAGGGCTATGAGGCGCGTTGCATTTGAGCTGTGTCCTCTTAGAGAGACCAGAGTCCAATCATGAAGCCCTGTACCAGAGTTGGAGATGCCCCTCAAGTGAGAAAACATACGTGTTTCGACGTGAGATGCCACAAAGGCTACTGTAGTCCTTCCATCTCATAGATGCTCACGGTTCCTCTACCGGATTTTCCCGCAATCGCCAACACATCCTGCCCCAGCTCGTGAATGGCGAGTGCGAGCCGCCCGGGTGCAAGGGCGAGTCGGGCACTCAGCGGTTCCCCCTTGTCAGATGAGCTGAGAAATGTTCATCGGGTTACGAAGTAGTTCAAGTCACGATTACAAAGAGCAGCAACACGACGACAAACAAGAACGACAAGGACAACAAGAGCAAGAGCAAGAGCAAGAACAAGAACAAGAACAACAAGAATAACAATACTAAGAACAACAAGAAGAACAATAACAACAGCAATGACAATAATGATAACAATAACAATGAGAACAATAAGAACAAGAAGAGCAAGACTAACAAGAATAACAACAATAACAACAAGAACAACAAGAATAACAAGAGCAACAAGGACAACAAGAACAACAAGAACAACAATACCGACAAGAACGACAATAGCGACAGTAACGGCAAGAACGACAATAACAACAATAACGACGACAACGACGACCACGACCACAACCACAACGACAACGACAATCACGACCACAACCACAAAGACAACTACAACGACAACGACGCCAACACCAACAACACCAACAACACCAACAACACCAACAACACCAACAACACCAACAACACCAACAACACCAACAACACCAACAACACCAACAACACCAACAACACCAACAACACCAACAACACCAACAACACCAACAACACCAACAACACCAAAAAAGATAACAATAATAGTAGTAATAACAATAGTAATCATAAAACATATATATATATATATGTATATTAATAATAATAAAATAACTATTTTGTTATAAGAAGAAGAACAACAGGAACAATAACAAAAGCAAGGACAATAACCCCAACAATACTGTTATAACAAGAACAAGAACGACAACGGCGACGGCCACGCCGCCGCCGTCGCAGCCGCCCCCACCACCACCGCCCCCTCCGCCCACTGCCACCGCCACGCCACCACCACCTCCACCGCCGCCACCGCCACCGCCACCACCATCACCCATGCATCACCACCATGCACCACCACCACCACCACCACCATGCTCCATGTGGCATGCGCCACATGCGCCATGCACCATGCACCATACGCCATGCATGGCATGCACCACGATCGCGGCTGCAACAAGCCTCCTTGTGACCTTAGTCGGCTGACTTTGCCACCTCTTTGCAACGGCGTCAGATTCCGTTCTTATCTGGCTGAGGTTGGTGGAGGGCAACTTGGCTTGCATTGCGCTGCCGATAGGAGTTTATAAATTATCAGCCTTGTGAGCACATCTGGCCCTCACTCGCATGAGCAAGCACATGAAGGTTCAGACGTGTGCTTCGTTTGGCATTGGTGTGCAGAAGGGCAGCGAGATAGGGGCAAGCAGTTTCTTCTGGCCATGCTTTAAATTCAGGCTGCCACCTGTCCGACTACAGCAAGTGCTCCAACACCTACATCAAGTACGAGCTGCGCCCTCGGAAATGGGACAGTTGCACAACACGGATTCAGGGAGCTCATTGGTGGCCATTCCGGCTATGGACAGGAAGCAGCACAGTTGGGAATTCTAGCCAGCGAGTCTGTCATTTGCAGCATGCGGCAGCCACCATCACAAAGGAGAAGGGTACTTGAGATACTTGCAAAAGTGCTAGACAAGGACCCAGAAGAACGTCTGAGATACTTGCTGTGTCCTGGTTTTTTCCAGCGCTCGCCCAGGACAGAGTACATCCAATGCGGCGCAGCTGGTCCCAACTGTCTCTCCGACCACGTCTGCAAGAAGTGAGCTTGGGAGCCAAAGTTGTAGGAGGACGGTAGGTAGAGATTGCGAATTAGAAGCCCAAGGCGTTCAAAGTTTCAAGTGCACCCTTGCTCATTTGTTCTTAGGGGCAAGGGTCTCCAACCCAGCTCCACGGTGCACCCTGCACCCCCAAAAAGGTGCGCGCCATGGTGCATTCTGCCAAAAAGTGAAGTAAATACGACTGTCTTACTCAGAGACCTCTCTTGAGGACCCTGGCCCCTTAAAAGCCCCCAAAAGCCCTAAAAACCAAAAGCCCCAAACACCCGCTCGCAGCTACCCCGAAAGTCTCGACATCCTTGGTCTTTGGCTCCTTGATGGCAAGTAGCGCCCAGAGCCATGGCGTCCTCCAGGCGCTTTCTACAAAAGCAGTGCTTCCAAAGTACCGGCTGCACAGAGCACGACACATCACTGTTCATGTGGCCCTGTGTTTCTGCTGTGCTCCTGCTAATTTGTCCATAGCTGCCCCATGAAGCTAAGCGAGAGTTTGATTTCTTGTGTGCAGACTGGTTTGAGTTGGCAGTTCGGGAACTGGAAGCTCTAGGTAGACTGATGTTGAATGGTGCTCGCGGAAGGCGACGTCTTCCACTGCTGGCCCTGGTGGTCGCCCGGCGCCAAGGATTTTCCAAAAGCACCAGGCTCGTGTCAGGAGGAGACAGAGCGAGGGGATGCGAACAAATTGCTTATTTCATGCAAATAAGTACCGGAATTTCTGCCCTGAGGAGGGGGCACGCAAAAAGCGATAAGTTGATAAGCCTCACCCCCCCCCCCCCCCCAGTCCAGCAATTTTGTCCTCAGTTCATCTGGCACAGAACTTCGTGATCTCATCACACATCGAGGAGATTCCGGCAAAGGAGCGAGCAAGGATTCCTCAACCCTACAGTACACACAAACACCACACTTTCCACGCTAGCGCCTGGGACATCTCACGATCTCCGACTGTCAGACACGGGGGTTTCCGAAATAGTGGTACCCCCTTTGGAGTTTCCAAAAATATGGATGATAGTATTCTGGGGTACATCCGCCCATGTTTTGGGAAATCCTCTCACATCGAAGCGCTTTCGTTCTGTTTCGCTCAGTTCGTTCCAGGCCGGATGGTTGTGCTCACCTGCCCGACCTGGCCGTGATTTTGCAGGCTTGCTGCCGCGGGGTCAGTCATAAAGTCTCAAGTCCTGGGTTGAGAGCGCGTGGCTTGCAATGTATGTCCAAGACAACTTCTGTCAGCATTGGGCAGGTGCTCAGCCCCTCCACGACTCAGCCGATCTCGTCGTTAGAAGAGTTCGGAAGGAACAGAAAACCCAGGCGGTGCTTCTGCTTCAGGGTCTGGGCGACGAATGACTATTCGTACACACGAATCGCAGGTGACCATCGCCAGTAACATCGTTAAACTACGTATGTGCGTGTATGTCTGTATATATATATTTTTATATTTATATATGTATACGTACATCTTCATGAACGACCGTAGAGTCGCTTCGCACGCTCTAGCGATGTGTTTGTCAACCCTTTTTTTGGTCCACCCTCAAGTATTCTCAGCCGCCACGTAGGTAAGGGTTTGCTTCTTAGTGGTGTACCGCATATTCACCGGCATGAACTTTTCAAGGCATTCTATCAGGCGCCGACTTGCCTCATTCCGTACTCAGAACCCGTCAGGTTATGTGCATTTTGGCCTAGACATGGCTACGCTAAACATCAGCGATTCTGCGTGAAACCGATGCGCACGGTTTTACAGGACTTTGTGCTGCCGCAGAACAGTCCGTTCCCGACTGCCGGCTGTGCCGTGTGTACTTTGTGCGTGTGCATATGCGCGTCAGCATCCTGCTCTAAACCCTGGATCCAAACTTGAAACCCTGTCAAACAAACCCCAGGCCCTAAACCAAACCCTAAGCCCTATAAGCCCTAAAGCCCTGAAGTCTAAACCCCCAAAAACCCTCAGGCCACTGAATCGCCTAAACCCTATAAAATGCCTAAACTGGCCTATAGCTCGAAATCCTTCAAGCCCCGAAGTCCCAAAGCCCTGAAACCCTAAAGCCTTAAAACCCTTAGGATGGGATGGGTATGTTGAATGCTTGGATGGAGTGCACGCAAGTCCTAGGTCAAGTGTTTAGACTCTGATACCCGAAACCTAAATCCTAGCGACACCCGGAGGACCTAAACTGCCGAACATTCGGGGTTTGGGGTTTGGGTGTTCAAGGGGTTCAGGGTCCAGGGGTTTAGGGGTTTGAGGGTGTTGGCCTCCAGGATTTAAGTTTAGGGTTTTTGTCCAAGATTTTGTCACTACAGAGGAGCATTCTCGATGGCCACTCATCCGGACCCTGAAAAAGCTCACTCCCGTTTAGGGTTCATGTTTTCGGGTTTAGGGTTTGGGGTTAAACTTAAAGGCGAAAGGTTTACGTCGGCTTCCTGGAAATCAGTCAGGAGCAAGGGCAGTTGGGAAATTAAGCACCTTGCATCCCCATGCCCTAGGCCCGAATTTCCGATGACTAGGCCGGTATGGTTCAGAGGGTCCTAGAGGGCTCATGTGGCAGGCCTACAATGAGATTGCGAGCATCGAAGTGACTGACAAGGCTCTCCTTCCCCCCTTCTTGCCTCAACATCCCTAAGCCCTCACGCCTAGAGACGAAACCTTGAATAACCACATATTGAAAAGAACCACGTAATCCTCTACAACCCTAAAGCACCTCAAAGAGCCCTAGCCCTAAACCCTACATAGCCCTAAGCCGTAAACAACCCTGAGCCCAAACCCTGTCAGGCTTCAGGCTTACCACCGAAGCTTTGCAGTTTCGGGGTCTAAGTGCGGGTTTCCTCCCCTCCCCCCCCCAAATCAAATGTCTTGTTGCCGAATGTGGTTGTTTTCGCCAATGGGGGTGCACTTGTGGGGCCGGAGGGGGGGGAGGGGGTTTGGCGGGGTCCCTAAACCCCTAAACCCGTTTTGTGTTCTTTTGGGGTCTCCCTCCATATATCTTGGACGTATCCCCCCATGCTGCTTTCAGGAGAAGTCAATGAAGGGGTACATGTCTCCTGAGGAGGTCGCTAACGTGGCTAAGCGGCACAGCAGATCACTTCGAGAGGAAGTGGGTGGCCGAAGGGCATATTGATTATATTGATTGTTGCTGTTGACTCGGCAATTCTCTTACACATGAAGTGCGTGAGCTGTAGCACTACTACACTACTGCATGGCATCAGCTGTGCTCCAGTGGGGAAGCGGCTCGAGCGTACATGTCTGCATCCCCGGCTGGTCAGCAGTTGAATCGGCTGTGCGCACGTTCCGTTCCATCCGAGGAGCTCATCCGCCGTCGCGAGAAGCAGGCTGCTACCTTCTTGCGGTCTATAGTTTTTGCCACAGATTCGACCCCTCATCCCGTGCCCAGCTGGATAACTACATGAGCGGCGTCGACCTCGAGAAAGAAGAGCGCAGTGACCAATCCATCGAGCCCAATCCTCAGGAATGTAAAATCTGGGTTTATCTCTTAAGGGCCATTAAGGGCCTAAGGGCCTAAGCCGCTTGAGCCCGCCCGGCCGTACGTCGTAGACCTACAGTGTTGAGCGGACTCGTCCGCTCCTCGTGCCCCTGCCCGGTTTGGGCTGCCTTGGGGACATGCTCGGTTTGGGCTTCGTGCTGTAGGAGCATATGACATGCTTTGCCGGAGCATGGTAGCTTTGATCCCACAGTTTGAACTAGGACAACTAGGAGAGGGAAAAACCCAGCGAAGTGCAGAGGAACAGCTACTGGCTCTTCGTGCCCGTGGGCATCGGCGCCCTCCTGGTCCGGGAGCCCAAAGTCGTTCTGAAAGCTTCGTGTGAAGGCTTCGACGATTCGAAGGCCTTGCAAAGATGAGTTCGCGCTCCGAGGCCGCGTACTACCTGAACATCACCTACACCGACTTCAAGGTCCGCGACTGCGTCCACAACCGTCTGCAATGGCGCGCAGTTCTCCCTTAAAACAGACTCTGATTCATCCGAGTCTACGAACGCTCGAAGCCTCCTGTGCAGGAACGATCTGTGGGACTTGTGTCGTATGCAGATGTGTCGCACCCTCACACGGCTGCACCGACACCGACTGTCATGAGGAGGGTCAGTTTTTCCATTCTGAGATGCCCTGCGCTAGCCTCACTGACACGGGCGATTGTAAGTCTGATCGAGGGAAGCCCCACCTAGTCACTACGCCAGTAGCTCGAGGGTTTCAGAGTCACATATCCGCAAAGCTCAGGTTGTTCAGGTTTGCAAGGGAGTGACATGACAGGGTGGATGCATAACAGCAACGTTCTAATGTCCGAGATTACACCACCCAGAAAAGTGGGGTCTCAGGTGCGGCAGTGATGCCTTCTACTTGAAGCAGATGTTCTTCCCAAGTCGTCGCCTCAGAAGAAGTCCCACCAGCTGCGGGAGCACCTAGACGCACAAATCACCCATGCTGATCGCCCGTAGACCCCTAGTTAAGTTTGAGGGCAGCCACTGTGCGCGAGCCAGAGAGCTGCGCCTGTTTTGCGGTGCATGCTGCCGTTCAGACTGCTATGACCAGCAGTACGAGTATGTGCGAATGGTTTTGACCTTCGGACTTTCTGTAGACAGGAAAGGGGAGGGCATCTCTCAGCCACTCATATGGGGGGTTTACGAAACTAGCGTAGGATCTCCTTATTATCAGGACCCCAATAAGGTACCCCTCATATCGTAGACCCCCCAATATATTAAACAAAAACCAAGCCCCTGACAGACTCGGAGTGCGTCGAGCCGGTCTGGAGGATGACGAAGGAGGCCGCCCCCCTTTCAAAGCTGTACAGCCGCGCAGCAAGCCCTGGACCCTTCGGTTGGGCCTTTTTCGGGGTACCTAACTGTCTTACTGCAATATGTACTAAGTACGTCCCTAAGAACAGACATAGGAACTGCAGCCGCCCAGGGTCCAGGTAAATTTTGCAGGTGGATTAGCGCTCTGCGGAAGAACGCCGTATCTTAAACCCGAGAAGCCCTGCACCCTACGACCCTAGAAACCCAGCGCTCCCGGCGACGCCAGGAGTACGAGGATTCACAGCGCCAGGCAGGGTACCCAGTGGGGTTCAACTCCTGTTGCCTTCTGCCGATGCTCTCCGGAGCACGAAACAACTTTTATTGGGTTTAGGTGTTACGAGGGAGAGATGGGGTGCTTAAAGGGTGTTATATATATACACATGTATCTATATATACATATGTGTATATATAAAAATAAATGGTCAGCCCCCCCCCCATGATCCACACCTATGGTTTTCCTGTCTGCGTCTTTGTCTGATTTTCGGCTTTTTCCTCGGGAAAATGCAGTAAAAATGCACTGGAATACAAAAAGCTCTATTATATTATCCTCTATAAAAACACTAGTGTTTTTATGTGCATTTTGCTTCTGAAACTTGTGTCTTGCAGCTCCATAGAATTTTAGAAGGGTAGCCATTTAGAAGTTTAAGGCTTTTCAGGGTTTTAGAGTTTGTGAAAATTTAGATGATCTGTAGAAGGCACCGGGGCTTCCCCGGACCATTTGCAATTTTCAAAGTCCTTAAAAGGGGCAGCCCTTTTCAAATTTGAAGGGCTTTAAGGTATATTTAAAGCCCTTCAAAATTTTCAAGATTTAAAGGGTCCTAACAGGCTTTAAAGCCCTTAAACAAGCTCGAAACGTTTCTCCCTTTAAAGTCTAAAATTCCTTAAAATTTGAAACGGGCACCCGTTCAAAATTAAGGAAGTTACGGATTTTAGAATTGAACATCTTAAAATCTTGAAACTTTAAAAGGACAGCCATTTCAGGGTTTTACGGATTTGTGAAAATTTATATGGTCTGGGGAAGGCACCGGGGCTTCTCCAGACCAAAGGCAACTTCAAAAATCTCGAAAATCCGCAAAGGGCAGCCACTTAAATGCGTAAGCAGTTTGAGGTCTTTAAAAGGCTTAAACGGCTTAACACCTTCATAATCCTGAGAATGTTTAAACAGAAGCTTAAAGATTTTTATAAGATTTTAAGGATTTTAAAAGTTTAGATGGTCTGGGGAAGCCCCAGTGCCTTCCCCAGATCATGTAAACTTGCAAAACCCTTAAACCCCTTAGCCCTAAAAACCAAACCCGAAACCCTTAACACTAAACCCTAAACACTCAGCACCAGACCCTAAACACTAACCCAAAAACTTAACACTAAGCCCTTAGCACACACCCCAAACACTTAACATGAAACCCTAAACACTTAAGCACTAGACCCTAAACACTAAACCCTAAACACTTAAAGACTACACCCTAAAATCGAAGCCCGAAACATTACACACAAAACCCTACACACGAAACCTGAACACTAGTAAAAATCCTTAAAACCCTTAATCCAAAAAAACCAAACCCGAAACCCTTAACACTAAACCCTAAACACTCAGCACTAGACCCTAAACACGAACCCTAAAAACTTAACACTAGGCCCACGAACCCCAAACACTTGACACGAAACCCCAAACACTTAAGCACTACTAAACCCTAAACACTCAGCACTAGACCCTAAACACTAACCCTAAAAACTTAACACTAAGCCCCCTTAGCACAAACCCCAAACACTTAACAGGAAACCCTAAACACTTAAGCACTAGACCCTAAACACTAAGCCCTAAACACTTAAAGACAACACCCGAAAAACTAAACCCTAAACATTACACACTAAACCCTACACACTAAACCCTGAACGCTAGTAAAAATCCTTAAAACCCGCAACCCAAAACAAACCGAAACCCTTAGCACTGAACCCTAAACACTCAGCACTAGACCCTAAACACTAACCCTAAAAGCTTAACACTAAGCCTTTAGCACGAACCCCGAACACTGAACACGAAACCCTAAACACTTAAGCACTAAACCCTTACTAAACACTAGACCCTAAACACTTAAACACTACACCCTAAACACTAAACCCTAAACATTACACACTAAACCCTGCACACTAGACCCTGAAAACTAAACCCTAAACCCTAAACAGAAGGATTTTTCAAGTTGCCAATGGGCTGGGGAAGCCCCGGTGCCTTCCCCAGATCATTTAAATTTGTAAAAACCCTTAAAACCCTTAACCTAAACACCAAACCCGAAACCTTTAACACTAAACCCTAAACACTAGCCCTAAAGACTTAACACTAAGCCCTTAGCACAAACCCCAAACACTTAGCACGAAACCCTAAACACTTAAGCACTTAACACAAAACTAAACCTTAAATATTTCAAACTAAACCCTAAACATTAGACACTAAACCGTAAACCCTAAACAGTAAACCCCAAAGCCGGAACCTCGAGCCCTACTAAATCTAAACCTGAAACCAAAAACCCGTCGGGGTTTCAGATGCTTACTGTTAGGATTTCAAAGTTTAGGGTTTTCTTTGGGGTTTAGCTGAGCCGCTTGACCCTAAACCCGAAACCCTTAACTTAACACTCAACCCTAAACACAAAACACAAAACCCTGAAACCTACACACTAAACCCTAAACACTAGATTTCCAGAAAAAAATCTGGAGTACCCGTGCCCCGGACTCCAGACACTAGATTTCCACAAAAAATCTGGAGTACCGGGGCCCCGGACTCCAGACTCCAGATTTCCAGAAAAAATCTGGAGTACCGGGGCCCCGGACTCCAGATTTCCAGAAAAAATCTGGAGTACCGGGGCCCCGGACTCCAGACTCCAGATTTCCAGAAAAAATCTGGAGTATCGGGGCCCCCCCACTCCAGACTCCAGATTTCCAGAAAAAATCTGGAGTACCCGCGGCCCCAGACTCCAGACTCCAGATTTCCAGAAAAAATCTGGAGTACCCGCGGCCCCAGACTCCAGATTACAGACTCCAGAATCTGGAGTCCAGGGTCCCGGTACTCCAGATTTTTTCTGGAAATCTGGAGTCTGGAGTCTGGAGGTACTCCAGATTTTTTCTGGAAATCTGGAGTCTGGAGTCTGGGGGTACTCCAGATTTTCTCTGGAAATCTGGAGTCTGGAGTCTGGGGGTACTCCAGATTTTTTCTGGAAATCTGGAGTCTGGAGTCCCCCCCCTCCCAAAACCCCTTCCCGAGGCCAAATGTGTGGATCATGGGGGGGGGGGCGAGCAAATAAATATAGATAAATAAATAATATATATATATATATATGTAGGTGCTTTCCAAGACAGGGGTATATCATCTTTCTAGGTGACTCTATATCGGGAGAGCGTGCCTTGTGGGAGGATTGTTACTACCAGCAAGGGGCAAGTTACGAGAATCAGATGCAAAGGAAGTCGTAGCCAGCGCACGCGCTGGAGCGGCCCTAGCACAGACCATGCGAGCAGCGCTTCTGCAAGCATCTGCGCCAGTCGGAGATGGGCGTGGGCGCGGCATCGAAGAAGCTGCCGAAGACCGCGCAGCAGATCTTGAAAGAGTTGGCGCGCGACTCAGCACCTGGATGTTGGGGAAAATACAGGTGCACCCAACAAGCAGAAAGACTCCTGGAGGGGCTCCTGGAGGCTCCCCTGTTTCCTACTCAGGAAGCCAACAAGGCCTAGCCGGCGAGGCTGAACTTGGGCTTAGATTGGTAGGTTTGTGCAGGATGCGGAGGCTCAGCGTATGAGCTGACATGATTTTCCAGCTTGGGCAGCAAGAGCTTCCCTAGAAGTTCTGACAGTGTCAACAGGTCCAAGACGGGTCGAAGACGGACTACTCTGTAGAACTTCAAAAGAGTGATTCTGCACTCAGCGCAGTTGCAGAGAGCTAAAAATAGAGTTGCCTTAAGTGTCTTAAATCCCGGCAGTGACACTGTAAAGCATTGTTCCGAGACGTGCCTGAAGTATCCCGCGCTTCCCCGGCAACACTTGAGCAATGAAGCCCGTCACACCGCACACTGCAGCCTGAACGCTGGAAAGCCTGCACATAAGACCAGAAGATGCGGCTCGACGTCAAAAAGGTCTTCTGGACCCTTGCAGAGTTGCAAACGGCGAAATCCTCTGCAGGTGTTGAGGTATGAGAGTTCAGAATGACAGCAAAGTCCAGGGCATCTGCCGGCTGCAGCTTCTCTCAAGCATGTCATCAGTGGACATCCAGCCGCAAGCTGACTCTTCCTGCTAAGTAAAAGATTGTACACGCGGCCTTGTCGTCAGGCACGTTTGACCTAGATCTGCACCCTCTGGCCACCATGGACCTCTGCTGGATGTGCGCCGGAATAGACAGTGAAAGCTGCAGCGTTTGTGGGGGAGCCGGCACGCAGGCGACTGTCAAGAACGACTAAGCAAGACATGTTTTCTCTGGCGCTGGAGTACCCGTTTACAGTTGCTTTCCTTTTGAGGAATCCTAGACCTAAACCATCCTGAGCCCTGTTGAAGCCTACGAAGCCCAGAGCTTTTGCAGGGCGAGCCCAGCGAGCCGCGCGAGTTCAACAGGGCCCTTCCGGAGCGACCAGAGCCTGGCCCAACTCCCACTGGCACTGGCGACAGAGGGTACCAGGTGTACCAGACCACCGTGGAGGCCGGCTCAGAACAGACCGCCTGTTGCTGCGCAGAGAGATATATGGTGATACTGAGAGGACTTCGTCATAGGTGCGCTCTTGCTATGAGTGTCTCGAATTCGGGCAGCACATTGCCTCGTCTGCGCTTCGCGATTTGGCCTTGGCGGCTTCCTACCGCCTCCCAGCCCCCCCAACGAAGATGATCGAAGGATGCTGCTTGCGCGTGCTTTCACTACCCGGACTTCTCTCTCAGTGATCCATGTCCTTGTCAACCTCGTTAGCTTATGCCACGTGGGACTGGTTGTTCCTCACCCTTGGTGGGGGCCGGTGTGGGTTTGTTAGATGTTGACTATTCCCTTCGCCTGGCGAGAATGAATAGCTGCTCAGAGGGGAGGTCTGGTGCAAAGGTTTATTTTTAACCCTCCGCGACCCGCCTCTGTGTTCAGAGGCTTCGGGCAATCAGTCCCTTTGGGGATCCTGTTGTAACACGCATGCTCATGTATAGAGTAGGCACCCACAATGTGAGTGGTAAAACAAGGGTTTGCATAGAGGTGAGGGCGGGAGGTGGAAGTGGGAGGGTGAGGCCGGGGGGGGGGGGTGGGGTGTTCAGTGCTTGCAGGAATGCAATAAGCTGTATTTCAGACTCAGCTGCGAGAGGCAGAAAGCACGCGGCTCCAAGCGAGGAAGCACTCGACTCGTGCAAGCAGGCGGGGATTCTGTGTGTGGTGTCCAGGAATCCAGAGCTGGCGCCAGCCGACACGTGACACTTTTGTATATGCTCGGTTGGTTCATGAGACTTGTGCCCACATTCTTTACGGCGCTTGTCACAAGAACGCCAGGAGGAAATGCGGCATCGAATTGTCAGCAGTCTGAGTTTGCATGTTCCGCTTTTGAAGGCATGAAGAGGAGGAGCAAGCGATCCAGCAGGAGCCTGGGCTATCTTCATGGTTTGAAATGGTCAGGGTTGTTTGTGGTTCCTGGCTGCAGCAGGAAGGGCTTTCTTGAAATTCGCAGGAAGAGTACTTGTCCCGGCTGCCTACTACTTCTACTACTTCTACTACTTCTACTACTTCTACTACTTCTACTACTTCTACTACTTCTACTACTTCTACTACTTTTACTACTTCTACTACTTCTACTACTTCTACTACTAGTACGACGACGACTACTACTACTACTACTACTACTACTACTACTACTACTACTACTACTACTACTACTACTACTCCTAGATACTCCTACTCCTCCTCCTCCTCCCACTCCTACTCCTGCTCCTCCTGCTGCTCCTCCTGCTGCTGCTGCTGCTGCCGCTGCATGTCTGGGAGCCCCGGACGTCGGAATGGAGATAGAGTGGGTGTTTCTGATTGCGCAGGAGAATCCAAAGGAGGACGTTGTTGAGGTTTGCGTTTCATGACACGGATGCTGCAAAGTTGAAAGGAGCACCTGCTCCGGAAGAAGCAGGAGGACGAGCGCAGAGTCAGGGAGCAGCAGACACTTGGTTTGGATGCTTTGGACCCTTTCGTGGAGCCCGATTCTGTTAAAACAACCCATGCAAACTCTATAATTCAACCCTAAGGCCCTAAGGGGCATTTTCTGGAGCTTTGTTCGCGTCCCCGTCCCCAGTGCTAACCACGACTCTGAGGCAGATCGCAGCAAGGATGGTGCCGGCGCCGGAGCCCACTGTCAGGGAGGCGAGTTCCGCGTTCGCGTGGCAACATTCAGAGCGCTTTGCTTTCTTGGAGGGACTCCGGTAGTGGAAGAACGCAGTGCTGGGTTCCCTTGTGCAGGCGCGCCAAGCAAGCGCCTTCAGCAAGCACGTAGCCGACCGTGCCTCCCAACCTCAGGCATCGGAAAGTCCCATTTTCGAGGTAGACCGCCTGCTCAGATTGAGACCTGAAGCATCGATGATTCCCTGAATTTGAAGCTTTCGAAGCTTTGACTGCCCTTTCGCAGATGTTCTTCTCACTGCAGGCAGCCCGCGAAAGTGAGGCCAAGCCTGAGAAGGCTGCAAAGCCGAAAGCAAAGAAAGCCAATCCCAGAGCCGACAAGCTCGATGCGCAACTGGTCTTAAACTCATAGCTGGCTTTGTGGGCAGGGAAGGAGGGAATGAGGTAACCCCTGCAAGGTATGTTAAGAGGGGGGGGGCGGGATCCAAGACGCTGACCATGATAAGGAGGGGCTGGGGGGCCTTCTTGTTTAATCTGAGGCTGCACCACAGTTGCAGCTGCCAATGCCGAAGTTACATTCTGCTGTCTCTATAAGCCCTAAACATCCCTAAACTATGACTATTCACAGTAGCATCATTATTATTTTTGTTACTCTTGGTATTTTATGTTTATTATCTAAGCCTCTTTTTTTGAGCTTCCGGTTTGTCCGAGGCAGATGGCAGCCTTGGAGCAGCTGATGGCGGCGGAGCAGCAAATGGGCACACCCGGCACACCAGCAACTTCCTACGGCGCCTACGGTGGCTGTACGCCGAGCCTTGGCAATCTTGGCATGCTGCGGTCGTGGGCAGACTTTCAATTCAATGAGACCAGCAGCTTTGACGACTTAAGACCGCCCTTTGCCTTCCTGGGACACTGAAGCCATGCTTGAGTTGCATTTCAGGTTTGCTGCAAAGCCGACGAGAATGAGAGCGGTGGAGACGGCCGTAAAGCCATGTGAGGGGTTTGTATCGCGCCCTAATCAGCCGCCACAGCAGAAGAAACTCATTCCACACTGCGATGCTTGGCTGCAAGTGCCGAGAAGTCTTGGCTTGGATTTTTTTCATGCTTCACCATCAACTCAGCGCCCGGTTTCGTGAAGCAACGTGTGGAAGTTGCTGTGACTTGAAAGGAGCAGCGCGAGCAACGCCAGCCACCTGTCGCGAGCACGACGGGCTCCGCGGTTGAGCCGGCCCTGCTCAGCCCAGCTGTTGCCTCTTTGCATCTGCACCTGCAGCAGCACTCGCAGGCAGCATCTCGGGGCACTAGAGTGACGACATGTGACAACCCCATCCAGCATGGTAGCTCCCTGTCATCTTCCGCAAAGCTTAAATCACTACAGGAACACAACAGACACTCTAGAGCCGGACAGGCACGAAGCCAGCCCACCAGCCACGACGTCGCCAGGGAGCCACTCGGTGTGATGCGATGGTCACATTGTGGCATCATGGCATTGTACGACAAAAGCCAAGGAGTTCAAGCACGAAGCGGACGTCCTTCGACGAGCAATCAGAGGCATGGAGGGGAGATCAAGGAAGGTTCGAACGCACAGTGACATAGCTCATAACACAGGATTATCTACTTATAGCTTTGTACTGCCGCTTCACATCACTCTTAAGCATGGCTTCCAAGGGCAAAGCAAGCGCAGCAGCTTTTTGCCGCAGCTTCTGCTGCAACATGGGGGTTTACATCTCAAATCCGGTGTGCCGATCATCCGGCGACAGCACCCGCAGGCCACATGCTTGACTCAATCCCCGCAAATATCACGGGCGGAAGGGCGGGACAAAACTTGAGTCGATGGTCGGACGACTATATCGCTGTCCCTTCATCTGGAACACTTTAAGCAACTCTTGCCATCTGTGGCTCGGCGTTGCACGCACACCTCGCACGACATCAACTTGCAAGCTCGGCGCTCTCGCACCCTGAATGCCCGTCTAGAATGCTTCAACGGCAGCCAATACAGCGCGCGCCCGGAATCTCCATTTTCAGCTTCCGCGCAACCTGGGCGTGGATGGGGAGCAGATCGTTCATCGATCGTCTCAGGGGGCTACAATCCCGTACAGTAGAAATTGTAACAACACGAAGAAGGAGAATAATTCATCATGACAATGATAGGTCTGATAGGCATTGCGATGCTTATCTCGAAAGCAACAACAGTTTCGAGTCGCTGAAGGCACAATTCGCGACTCCCCGAATCCAGCGCTCCCCATCTGTGCCATTGTGTGTTCACGCTTCTGTGAGGAGGATGCGGAACTCCCTTCCTTTGCAGATTTGGGAGCCCTGGCGCGCTTTGGGCATCTTCTTGGGGTTTTTGGCATCGTTCTTGAAGCAGCGAAGCATGGGAGGTCTTGGGAGGTGTTTTTTAGCGTGGGCTGACCATCGAGTTATGTGAACCAAGGACGAACTCTGGAGCGGGAGAGCCCCGCAAGGCAAGCAAAGGCGGCCGATCCGCTTTCGGTGGCTTGGACGACGGGACTTAGCTGGGTAGGTGGTAGGCCAGGAGGATCGAACCCGGTACCGCGTCGAGCAATAAGCTTTCAAACCCTGGAAACCCTGGACCCGCCAACACAGAAGCGGCTTCAAACATGGGAGGCGTCTCAAAAGAAGCTGCTTTCGCTGAGGACCTGATCCGCCAAGTGAGCCACATTGACCCCGAACGGCTGCTGCCGGAAAGCACCGCCTCTCGGACTCCCTCTCCTATTTCTCTTGAAACACAAACCTTTCAAATGGATCCTCTGGGAGGCACCCTAAACTTGCAAGCCTAAACTGGCGAATATCATGATGCCCCTCGCCTCCCGTCCAAAGAAAAGGGGCAGAAACCATTTTGAGGTCCTGAGTTGGCATCCCCAAACAAACGGGGTAGCTTATCTTTGGAACTTCCATGGGATGTCGGAGCACCCTAAATCCTGGTCCCCTAAACCCTAAACGCTTAACCACTTTGTGTTGTGGTCTTTGGGGGAGTCCATCTCCCAACTCCTACATCCCTCATCCCTAAGCGCTGCTTCGAGGCAGTTGCCCCGGCCAGCCTCCACTTCAACTCTCGGCCGGCAAAGTGGCGCCAGCAAAAAAAAAGCTTTTGGGATGCTTGAGGGCGAGCGTCTTTCCATGGTGTGTGTAGGGATCTGAACAGAAAACCCGAAGCCCTAGAGTGCTAGAAAGCCAGCGTCTCAAAGAGGCATTCAGCCAGCTTCATGCTGCAGAGTGGCAGAGACTTCTGTGAAGCGTCTGCAGTCCGAACCATGTCCATTCCCGTTGTGCCCGTGCACGGATCGAACGCAACCATGGCATGTTGTAAAAGGCACCGTCCCCATCGGCTATTTGGGGCAGGCGTAGAAAAGTGTACATGACATCAGATCCAAGCTCGGCCTTGATACCTAGTGAAGCACCGCAGCGGGCATTTCCGACCCTTGGCTACGGCGGCCAACTCGAGTGCATTCAACAGATATCCTTTTACTCAGACTCCAGCTACCTCCAAGCTGCTGTCATGATCCACATGATTGCGGGTAAATCTGCGTATACCCGCTAACCCCAAACAATTTGAGCACCGCTTCTTCTGCCGGATGGCCCCGTCAAGAGCCGCGCGGCGCAAGAAGGCACTGTGGCTGGACTGGTGGGCCGGACTTGTGGCATCTTGTTTCCCTCCAGTGCGAGGACTATGACGTGGTCATTCACGGGAGCTCCGTGGAAAAGCTGTCGTCAGAAATTGCCTGGGGCTGCGTTTTTCGTCGTCATGCAGTGTCTTTTGCCTTGCACCCATGGAGCCATTTACATGGATTGGCTGCTCAGGTCACTCAACTTGCAGCGAAAGGATTTTGCACCATCGATCCAAGACTAGATGAAGATATGTTGCGTGACGCTCGCGAGGACACCACGTCCATCTTGACAGCGAGGGTACCGTAAACCGAGCTGCATCCCGCAAGAACTCGGCAAACTGCTCGTGAAGCTGTGTTCTTGCAGGACATCAGTGACTTGGATGCCCAGGGACTATTGAGACAGCCACCAGCCATGGTGACCTGGCAGCAGACCATAGCAGACCCCAACAAGGCCCTAAATTCCTCAGGCTCCAAGTTTTTAGTCCCTCGGGTGGCATCGCAAGAACTCCCGCGATGTGCGGTTCAGGAGGGATCAAAGGCCGCTTGGGGCCCCCCAGGTTCCATTGGGGGGAGGTTCCTATGAAGGAATCGATTAGACAGGCTGAGAATGTCCATGTTGCTCACCTTTTTTCTGCCCAAAGGTTCATGACGGCCTGCTCGGTGAGGAGGGTTCTTCCCTCATCACCGACTTCTTGCAGGCTACTCTACGGCAGACGTCAGATTGCTGGTTCTTGGTGAGTGTATGTAAGGTTCCTCATAAAATCTTACAAGTATTGGCGAGCGCACATATATATATATATATACATATGCATATGTAGGAAGGGTGTCCTGCTTGCGATACTGCTTGCAGGAGGGCATAACCGACGACAAAAGGTTTCGTCATCTGCACGCGCTGGACAAAGCAATGGCAGAACTTGTGAATGTTCTGCAGCGGCTGATCCAAGCATTAGAACCTCTTTGTTTGGTGCAACTCCTCTTCCTTTTGTATGGGACGGTGTGCAAGCCCAATCATGTCATTCTGAATGTAGTTTGCCGCTTGACGTTTTGTAGCTTCACTTAGGAGGTGGTAATGCGCATATAGTGCCTGTACACATGTGTGGGAAGAGGTGCATAGAAATTTATAGACGCCCACAGGTTATCAAAGCTCTTCTTGGCGAGTGCGGCGCTTCCTAAACATCTGGTCAACGGTTTTCGGTTGCCCTACCCGCTGATCCAACCTTATGTCTTGCGGAGTTTGCATCTTCGGGTGGCTCTCGTCTTTTCTCTGACCTCCTGGTGTTTGGAAGTGCCTCGGTGGCTTTGGCCTTGACTGCCAGGCTGTCTATTCACGATCTTGCCTGCGGCTCCCTGAGCCGGACGCATCCCATTTTGCATGAGACCGGGCTGGCGCCGGAGCATGCGCCAGAGCCCACAGAGCATGAAGCCAGTCTCCTCATTGCAGTCAGACCGTTTGGGGTTAAGTCTTAGTTTTAAGTAAGATGGTTGAAGACTGCTTGAAGTACAATGAATGACGTGCAGCGGCGCACTGAGGCTACTGGCTAGGAGTCTTGGCTTGGATTTTGGGGAAGGAAAGGGATGCGAAGGCACAAGGCGCTGACGAAAGCATGCACAAAAATGTTCGTAGAGTCTGTGTAGTGTCCCGGAAGCGGAAACAGGGGGCAACTCGTCTGAGGAGTTTTGGCTCAGAAGAAGCTGATGGTGATGCTTTGTCTAGGGCCTGTTCGAGGGACCTTGGAGCTGCAACCATACGACGAAGATGCGGAAGCGCACGAGATTTCGACTGTCCCAGGACCCCCCCTTTTACTTAGGGCTCTTCGGGATGTTGATGGGGCTTAGAGGGTTGTTCTTTTGTGCTATTTCGATTTACAGGCGTTTTAGGACATGTTCGGGTTTTTAGGACATGTTCGGGTTTAGGATGAAGGGGGACCTCGGAGGAACCTTCATAATTCTCCGAGCGGATGGGATGTGGCATCGGCACTGTGCACATTCCAAAGCGCACATCTTGAGCTGCTTTCTGGTCGGACAGGAGTCCGTAGGCACAAAGCGGGCACAGGCCTCCTGGGTGCCTCCCTGCGCGCGCAGTCTGGAGCAGTGGACGGTGGAGCGTATGAGATATTTGAAGGAGGTTCAGTCAAAGGCACCCAAGGAGAAGCTGGATCTGCCGAGTGGTTGGCTGTCTGCCATGAACCACATGTTCCACACCGCGCAACGAGTGGCTGTAAGAGCAATTGCTGGTAGATATGCCAGCTCATGGGATGTGCAAGCCTGGTACATGTCACAAACGTCTGGCCCTGATTTTGTATCGGAAGTCCCACTGACAAGATGGGATGTAGACCAGTACTACGATTCCGATGTGGTTGGGCGTTGGTTTGAGCAAGTTTAGTTTTGTACGTTGAATGTCTTGCGAATAATCGAATATACAACCTTGATACAATCAGTGGCCGCACATAGGATGCCCCTGTTGAGGCTGAGGCCTGGCGAGGCTTCAAGAGCTTCGCCAGGCACGGATCTTTCATGGATGGAGCAGATTTGTTTGACAACAAGTTCTTTGGCCTGTCACCCATGGAAGCGAAGGCCGGGGTGCTTGCAAAAAAAGTGGCTCTTGGCTGCGATCTCCCGTCACATCCCCTGACTCCCATCGTGACTCCCGTCGTGACTCCCGTCGTAACTCCCTGTGGCTGCAGGGCATGGATCCCCACCAACGTGTGGTCCTGGAGGTTGGCTACGAGGCTTTGCACGGGGCTGGCTACACGAAGGCCCCTCGACCGCATTGCGGAGCGCGCAGCCATGCAGATGTCAGGGGTCCTCCGCTACAAAACTACAAAGGTCGATCCGTTCGATCACTCGCCAACTTCTTCCACCAGTGCTAACCTGTCTACTGCCCAAGGACGAGCCAGACTCCGTGCACGCGCATGGATAGGGCAAAAACGGCCAACCGGTTGGTCGTAGGGCGCATTTTTAGCATTGCGCGTCAAAAGGGCTCGTTTTCGCATCATTTGTTAATGGAAACATGCGCACCTCGTCCACGGACTGGGGGAGATTTCTAGCACGACCGGGCTTTACGGCGATGACAACATCGGCCCAGTGTATGAAGTCTGAAACTTCTAAAGGGTGCCGACATATTTGTGGGCGACTGCCGAAAGCTCAGCAGTTTCCGCAACTTGTTCCTGGGGTGGGTGTGGGGTATCTCCGAAGATGGGGTTACCCTTCTTTGGGTGAGCTGATAGTGTTTTGGGGTATTCCGGGTACCACTATTTTGGGAGGTACCCATGTATGGCGCGTAAGAACAGCAAGCGATGCGCAGTTTCTACATGTGCACTAGGTAAGGCTTTCGTATTTTCGGCGAGAGGTGTTCGAATTCAAGGTCTGGAGCCCCATGGTTTTCCAGCATAGGAAGACGTGGCTGCTGAAGCTCCTTTTCCTCTCCCCCAGAAGACTAGATCCCCCCCCCCCCCCCGCTCCCTCCCCCCGCTCCCTCCCCCCGCTCCCTCCCCCCGCTCCCTCCCCCCGCTCCCTCCCCCCTCTCGGTGGTCCTGTGACAAGACACGTCCCTTCGTCTTTGCACAGCAAGGGGCGGGTTTAGGGCCTATAGGGCTTATAGTGTTTGGGAGTGGAAAACCTGTTGCTTCTGGCCTACATATGTGACTCTGAGGGGAAGATGATGAACAAAGTCGGTCCGAGACCAAGAGTGCCGTGAAAATTTGGGTTATAGGCATCAAGAGAGCATGCGTCAAAACAGCCGGAGAATGAACATGTGCAGCTCGGATGTGCAAGAGGTGGCGTTTACTTGGGCAGCAGCTCGCACCTTGTCGGAGATTCGCAGCTTTGGAGTTTTTCATCAGCGCTCTCGTGTATTTACACCACTCGCCATGTTGCACGACCAAGGACCATCTTTGGCTTGGTGTCAGAAGTCAGTGGAGCAACTGGCGGCGCAGCGAGTATCAACTCCAACAGATTTAGTTTCTGCTACTTGGTTCACCTTATGCTGCCTTCCTGCGCGTAGACTACCTGCGGCAATGTAAGGGTCGGGCTTCGCTCATTTCATGTCGAGCCAGTGGCCCAAGACGTTCAGCAACATTCAAGCGACTTAACTAGAAGGCGCAATCATGGCCGTTTGCGGCCCCAACTGCAACTCGTTCAATTTTGCGCCGTGTAGAGACTTAAACCCTGAAGAGCCTTATGGATCACCCTTCATGTAAAAAAACAAAAACTAAGCCGCCAAAACCCACAAAATCGCCAAGAGCGCCAGGCTTGGGCCTGAAAGGCCCTAGCATGACCTGCGACACCGACGGCTCATCATCATTGACAGCAGTTCATCTCGGTGGCGAAGCAGTTCTTCACAAGGGTCTTGGAGTGAGCAACGAGCCCTTTGGAACGCAAAGACGTGATCTCGACGTGTCCGTTCCATGGCACCAGACAAATCAAGCGCGCAATATGAACCCTAAACCTCCCATGAACCGAAAGCTGTCTCAGGTTCTCCTTAGCAGGAGGAGTCGCCTTTCAGCTGGGACCGACGTTTCTTTCGCAGATGCAAGCTGCAGGGCTGCTGGCAGGCACCCAACTGTGCACATGCTTGTTCTGCAAAGCTTGTGAACGTTGCGGTGTTATGGCCGAAATACATACATACATACTAAGAGAGCACGAGAAAGAAACAAGCACGACTGTAGCAATGATGAGACTTTTCAAGCGAAGCGCCTGGGGAATGGAGCCTCTGAAGGCATCGGTCGATGCTTAACTTGGGATGCGAGCGAGGGCCTCATCTTTCAGAGCTCACTTTCCCGTCCACAGCTGCCGCGCGTCGAGTCTTTTGCTTGGAATGAGGTGCGCAAGGCTATACTTTGGGAAACTTTGCTGATCTTCGTTGTGTCATGTTGTGCCTATCCACTTCCGCTGGCAAGTCCATGCAATGAAAGTCTCAAGAAACGCTCAGGCGACGGATGCGGCTTCGCTGTGCAAAAGCGTATGGCTGACTGGGTCGACGGCAAGCAGGTGCACATCGAAGGTGAGCCGCTGGCGTTGACCTCGGAACTGCCTCGGCGAGTCTTCAGGATGTCTTGGTGCAGTTTGGTTTAGGTATCTTTGCTCTTGTTGCATGTGATCTTCAGGTTGGAAGCATCTGCGGAAGCTCTTGCGGGAGTGTGGGGATGGCAGCAGCCATGCATGCTCCGCATGGGCCTTCCGAGCAGGAGAACATAGCACAAGCGCTGCAGACAGAAGCTTGCACCGCATGTGGTTTTGCAGAGTTTTGCTGGGTGCTAATGTTTGCCAGTTGATAGCGGCTAGCTAAGAGGCCACACACCAGTCCAACCCCTCGCCCCACATTCAAGATCGCTGTCGCTGAGCAGCTTGCGCCCGGAATTTCAAACACAGGCAATGCTCGATGCATTGAACATTGATGCCGTGGAGTGCAATGGTCAGGGAGCGCTGCTGCGACTCTCGTCTGCACACTTAGGCTCCTACACATCAGGCAGCCGCCTTTGCTGCACTGCAAAGGGGAGAGCAGCGCCTCGTCAGGTCGAAAAAAGATAAGGGGACCTTGAGTCCCGAGTTTTTCAGAAACTCATGCTAAATCAGATGTCGGGTTCGAGTTGCCGGCTGTTCGCCGCCATGGCAGTCTTTGGAAGTAGGCAAGGATCCGGCGGCTGGCTTCCGAAGAGGGCTGTTTCTGAGAATGCCCCGCCTCTTCTCAGAGAAGTGCGGAAAATCAGCAGCATGCTGCACGGCTTGTTGCGCACTCGGCGCCCACATATCTTCATCTGGAGAGGAGCTTGCCGAGACCGGAACCGAAGAGCCCATCAACGCGGGACCGGTACCTCTGGAGACCGAGGAGAAGGTCATAGATCAGGCCATAGCCTGGGCAAGGCAATGCGACTTGGTATTGTAAGTCTACAACAAGCCCACGCTTGGTCCACCCACAGGGTTCAGGCCAGTCCAGTGAGGCCAAAGCAGGTGAGGAAGTGCCTGACCTTCTGAAGGAACGCCAATCCCAGAAGAGGCTCCGTCGAAAGACACGCGCAAGAAACATTGCAGGAGTGAGGGGAATTGTCAGAGACAAGACCGGATCAAAAGAATTGTGGGATGCAAGATGCAAAGTGGCGACCCCTCAAGATTAGGCGGGTAAAGTCCACTGCAAAGTCAGCTTACGGCCTTCTTTGAGATCTTCGAGACCAGCTGGGGAGATGCGGGGAGACCACCAAAAAAGGCCTGGCCGGGGAACTCCAGGAAAAATCCGGTCCAACTGTGAACATGTGTTCCAAATGGGGGTTTCCGAAGTTCGTGGTCCCTTATATTGGGTCCCTCATTCTCAGGGAATCCTACTATTTAGGGGTCTATATTGGGGTCCCCTGTTTTCGGAAACCCCCAATCGATCTGTTTCCTTCCTTTGACCAAGGAGACGCTGTGGAAGTTGACTCTCTCCTGCGCGTGCTACGTGGAGATGATGTCCAGGCGGCTCGAGTATGGTTTAAGCACATTCAACCTTGTTCCCAGCTACACACCTTAAACACAGCTTCCGCTTGCTTTGGAATTTGGCAGTGCATGATTTGTTCAGAGGAGTAGTCATGTTTGAGCGTATGGTATGTTTAAAACTTTTGAATACATCAGTAGATTGCAACCATGAAGCAGTTACGTAAAGATACTTGGGCAGTTGCCCGCTAAGTCCACAGATCTTCCCTTAGTTACAGACATCGCGTGCCGTTCTGCCTAGCACGGGCAGAAGACTCGTGATCGAAACATGTCGAAACGAAGTCCTTGCAACGGCACATCGCAGATATCGCAGACATCGCAGGCTCCGCTGTCACTTACGTCCGTGAAGAGCCGCGTGGGCTATGCCACAGAGTGTGCCGGCATCGTTGCGCTGCATCGCCTCATGCTGTCCGCCCTTTGGGGCTTCATGACACCAAACAACCATCTGCAGCAACTCAATCCTCACCTGGAGTTTGAGAACAAGGCCAATTTGCTGACAGCACCTTGGCCTGTTGAGGAACCGGCTGAGGCCGCTTTGTTTCCAGGATCGGTGGTGCAGCACGTTCTGCAATTGTGTGTGTGTGTGCAATGGGCAAGGCGTGTGCATAAACCTGTGCGAAGCGTAAGGAGCCGCAGGAGACGGCGCTGCGCAGCAGCTACATGGGTGTGTCGGCCCATGGCTTCGGCGGGACACAAGTCCACGTCATATCCTATGGCCACGCTGAGCAGATCAGGACACGTTCTCTGACGCTTGCATCTTTGCATCCGATGCTAGCGAATGCATGGAGAGGTAAGTCTGTGGACCGTGCCCCCTGAGGACAGCCCCGCAGCCGGAGCGCAACTGGAACGTGTTCAACTTTTGGCCGGGTGGTGGAGGTGAGCTTGAGGAGGACCTTTCGATCTGCGCTCATGTGAAAGGATGTGAAAGGCCAGCCCATGAGCCGTGCATCCCGTGGCTCAGGAGAAGCAGCCGTTGCGAGGCTATTTCATCGCAGGGACCTGGACGAAGTGGAGGGCGATCAAAATGCAGAATGAAGGTTGGGTGTGCAGAGTAAGTTGCCATGGGGGTTGGTTATGGGCGTTACATGGGCCCGAGGTTGGTGAAGGTCGTCTGTGTCCGTCAGTTTGGTATGACTCGATGATGATGACGGCGATGGTGATGACTCTGATGACGATGAGGCTGATGATGGTGATGATGAGGAGGATGGCGATGGTGACGGTGAAGGTGATGACGATGAAGAAGACGATGACTGAGGAGGTTATGCTTTTGTAAATTCAATCCACCAGCATAGGCCCATCGGAAAGCAAGAGCGCGGTACGATATGCAATTGGTTCGAGCAGTAGACATGCGCGAGTCCGAGCCAAGATGTGATCGGCAAATTTGTGTCTGAACCCTGTGCCGGATCAACCCCAATGCCGTGGTGCAAGTGCAAGCGCTGTTTGGGGAACAAAGAACGACTAACCAAACAGCTTAGGCCTGGATGTCGAACGTATGAGCTCATATGGCACAGGGCAGCGTTGCACAGATAAAACGTGCTTGGCCAGAGGACTGAAACACACACGCACCTGGAACTGTCATAATGGAATCAAGAATCGAGTCATATTATATCATTCAGTGCTTTCTTGTTCGGGCTTAGGGCCCCAATCTGGATTCAAATGCCCTTCCTTTCAGAAATACCCTGGCGTTCCATCTCGTGCTCATGCTGAAAGTACTGTAGCAAGATTGCGGTGCTCTCTCAGCACTATGTTAAACACCCCCTCGGTTTTTTCCTTGCATGCTTGTTGGCCAGGCACATGTTCGCTCGTCTATAGGACGTCAGAAGCCCTGGATTCTTCCTGAGCAGCAACGGCCGCAGATAGGTCTGTGTGTAGTCATAACCATCCCGAACTTCACATTCTCGCCAACCACTTCGGCTGAACAGAAAAACGTTTTCATTTTCAAGGGCACAAAGTGGGCACACGACCTCATGCCCATCTCTGGGCCAGCAAGGTAAGTTAAGTTGAGTTTTTGTCGGGGCTTCTTCATGTGCAATGCGCATGCGACGTGAGAGGTGATGAGACCTACGGATACACTCTTGTTCTTGGAGAGAATCGCTGGGAAGAGTCCTGACCTTACTCGCAGCCCGAAGAGTGATTGCACGATGCTTTGTGGATTGGATGACAAAACGTTGCAAGTCGCATGCTTCATCCGAGTGCAGCCATGTCGTTGACCAGGGCTGAGTATTAGAGCACCTAAGATCGCTGGGGAAGCTATCCAGTACTTGTAGCCCTTTACTGTGCTGCACTACTGCTGAGCTTGCAAACCTTAAAACGGTCCGGAAACGGCAGCTTCATCAGAGGCAGTGGAGGAAAGCCAGTGAGTTTTCGCCCATTTGACTTTGTCAGATGAGCAGCCGACATACGTCAGCTTGTGCAAGAGCATGCTGGAAAGTTGTCACATGAACACAAGGTTCCAGATTCTCCTGGATGGTACCTTGGCAGAGCAAGGGGGGCACCTGTGAACGCAGCTGCAGCACGATGTGCAGTCACGGCCGACAGAGCAGTCGCAAACTGAGGCGATGACAAAAGGAGTGCCCAACTTGCCAGATTTGTTTGCGGCCTTAGCGCATGGTTGCATGATGTTAGGGTTGTGACGGGCAAGACAGACCCGAGCTAACTGCCTCGACGTGCAATCGACATCCTTTCATACAATGTAGTGCGGAGGGAGCTGGAGGGGCGGGGGGTGAGTGTAGAAGCAGGAGAAGAACAAGGAAGAAGAAAAGAGAAGCGAAACCAGAGAAGCAAAGCAAGCAAAACGAAGGAGGGCCCAACAAAAGAAGCTCATGGATCACGCCTGACAGGAGGCTTCATCCAGCCCGGCCTCGAGCCTTCAAGGGCTTGGTCGTGCACGGGCCGTCTGCAGAGGCTCTCAGCTTTTTGCCTTGAGCAGCTTTGGGGGGGGGGGGGGGATTCGACTCAGATGACTCAGATGATTCAGATTCGTAACAATGGGAGATGTGTTTAAGCGGATGAACTTTCGGAAGGCCGCCGGTTTGAATTGGCGAATAGAAGGCCACGAGCTCAGCTTGGCGATATTTGCAGACATGCGCTCGATCAGCGGTCCTCTGGAACTCCTGCGGACAAGTCGGCTTTGCCTGTTCGCCAAGGCCGTGGTCGCTGGGTAGACGTGCCGGCAGACGCTGCTGATGCAGTTGCGCTCGGTGATGCTGAAAAGACTTCCAAGGCAATTATGGCAACCTGACGAGGAATTGGATCCATTCAGTCGAAGTTCAAGCCCTTGACCCATAGACCTTAAACGCCAATGGACTTCAAGGCACATGTTGAGACTGAAGAAATGATGAAAGCGGGTTTAGGGTTCTGTGATGTTCTGTGGGTTTTGGTTGGGTCGGGGTTGGGGGGGTGGGGGGTTTTGGAAGGAAGCAAAAGTTTAAAAGACACAAGTGAGAAGCCAAAATCAAGGAAAGCCTTGGGGCCGGGCGGAATGGTGGACCCGAGGAGGGTATTCAAACGGGTCCCGTGGGAGCGTCTTAGTACCCTTAGCTGAGGCCAAAGGCGAGTTGTGGGGTTGATCCTTGTGACAGTGTTCGCCTGCCCTTGTTCGTCGCATGCTGTCATGGCAATGCCTTGCCATCGCGTGAAAGTAAGTTTTTAAGTTGCCAATAGCTTTTACCCTTGGTGCTTTGCGGGCGCTGCTTGGAATCAATCTGGCATGTTACCAGTAGCTGCTGGGGCTCGTCCTCTGAGGCAATTGCCCAGAGCCTGGGTGATGGGCACGCAACCCAGTTCCGACCTTTACAGCTTGGCAGAGATCACGCAAAATCACGCATGCCTTAGGATAGAATGTCATGACTGGAGCCCTGAACTTCAGGTCCAAGCCATCAGAGTCAGGCGAACTCAAACTGATGGAAGTCGGAAATGCCGATATTGGCATGCCGGGGGACAAGTATCGAATCCGGCTGCGGATAGCTGGAAAATACAGAGCCTCGACTGCGCCATTAAACAGCAACTTAAAGGTCCCGAAAAGCAGCAGGCGTTGTTGCGTTGTTTTGTGGACTGCCAATTGTGGACTGTCAGGAACGGTGCTGTGGGAGAAGCTGCCCAAGGAGGACTACGATGAAGCAATCGACGCCCCCGAAGGTGCTTGGTACAAGCGGTCGGGAACTGCTGGCTGCTAGGTACTTTGGTTTTCAGGCATGTCTGTTTAGCGGAGCAAAGGTACTGTTACATAATTAAGCAGATGTTTACAGCAGATGTGTGGTTTCCGCCCATAGTGAGTCATTGTGGGTTAAAGAACAGCCAGGCGAAACTACTTGTTCCGCAATTCTGGGGGTGCATCGCTTTTGAAACACGCCGTAGCTGCTGAAAGACTGAGCCGGCACCCGAAGTCAAACTGTTGAAAGAGGTGAATGCCACGAGCCGTCGAGATCACACGCAGCACCGGACGATTGTCATTAGTGCGAAATTATTTCGTAGTACTACTGCTCTTATCAGTTGGACTGGCTTATTACGAAGAATAGCTCGCACCAGTTTCACGAGAAATGCATGTCGACCCTTATCACGCCAAAGGTGACTACCAGATTGTTGCGAGCTGGAATGGCTGGTCCCCTGACCCCCTGTTCCTTCGCAACGACGTTTGGTCCACGGAGGCCTGTTCGCAGATGGCCCGCGTGCATCTGTCAAATCTAGGTGCCGAGCTTGTCAGCCAGGGTTAGGCATCGTGACCGCATGCTTGCAAGATAGAATTTCGCAATCTTATCTTATGTTATGTGATGTTAATGATTGGTGTTTTTCGTTCCGTATACTTCTGATGAATACGCACACACATAATATATATATATATATATGATACGTAGATCGGATGGCTGGTGTTTTGCATGAGTGCCGTGTGCTCAGATTCAGCGCAGAGCCCTGCACCGGACAGCTAAAATGAGTCCAGTTTTGGAAGTCCCCATTGTCAGGGTTTCTGAGACTGGGTTGAGCAGTTTCGCGTATCAGCACAATGACATGGTCAGCTGGATGGCAGGTCGAGTTGACAAAGGAAGGGGGTGACTTCAAGCTCCTGCGGAACGAGGACAATGGTCTCATGACTTGCATCCTGAAGTAATCCGCACGAAGCAGGCCACCACCAGTTCTTCCCAAAATCCTGACTACCCCCTAAACCCCCCCCCCCCCCCCCCCCCCCCCAACGAGCGTGCGCTGCCAGGACTGGGGACAGGTCATCGCCCCACTGCGAGAAAAGGCAAGTGCCTCCGACGTCGGCGAAGGCTTCCATGTATTAGGTCCTTAAGGGCGGGCATGGGGGGTAGGTACCTAGGGAACCTTGGAAAAGCTTAGGGAGCCTCAAGGGAGTATCAGGGAACCTTTGGGTTACATACCACTGAACCCTTCCCCCCCCCCCCTCAATGACCCTATAATGTATGAATAGACATGGAGTGCTACCTTCGTCCCTGAACCCTAAACCCTAAAAACCCTAAAAACCCTAACAACCCTAAAAACCCTAAAAACCCTAAACCCACATGATGTGAAGCAAGCAGGACCGGAATCATTCGACCGATTCCGGGGCTGCGCTTGGAGTTTGAACGGGCGGCCTGGGGACGTTTTCCGAATATCGCCACGATCTCAGGAGTTTAGGGTTTAGGGGTTTAGGGTTTAGGGGTTTAGGGTTTAGGGTTTAGGGTTTAGGGTTTAGGGTTTAGGGTTTGACCCTCGCAAGACGACGAGGCACAGGCACTAGGAGTGCCTGTGCCTATGCTGAGGTTCAAGCGGCGATTGGTCAAGGATGCTAGTGGCAACTCACCTTGCAAGTGGCCACATCTTTTGGACATGATTTGCGCATTGTACGGGGCGGATGGCCTCTGAGGAAAAGTGGAAGACATAAAGGAGGTATCTTGGGAGAAGGTGCGGGAGGCTCGCACAAATCAAGCCCACCTAAAGCTATCGAAAACCCGCCTACAAAACCCTCACACAATCTCACAGGCGCCTTCGCAGACATAATGGAGTTCCATGGGCTTCGAGCGTGGCCGTCTCAGATCGCGTACATCACTAAGTACACTATGCACCCAAAACTTCAGTTCTTGGCACAGGCTGATGCTTTCCGGAGAGCCGCAGACAAGTAAAGTGACCATGTCAGCCGCCATGACTATGTGCGAATGTGTGCAAACCGCCCCTGATACTTTTGAGGTTTCTCGCTTTGCTGCCGCGGTTGTGGTGTTTTTGAGCGTTCGCTGTACATATTGTAGAAAGCAGCGGCCAGCGCAGCCATTCACGGCTGCACAGCCTCCAACATTGGTGTACATCCCACGCCGCACAAATGACTGCGCTGTTGCCAAACCCGTAGTGTCTCCACTTCTTCCCTCTTTATGCCTGGCCGCGCTTGCTTAAAAAAACTTAGAAACGGCTTGACACACAGCTTCGCACTGTTGGCATGGATCTGTCAGTGTGGCTTCAGGTCATTGAATCATGGACTCAAGGAGTTTCTCGTCTCTCCAGCGGCACTTTTCGCGGAGTGCGGAGATGAGTCAAGAATCAGGCTATCGTTGCATCATAGGAATAAACATGATTCTTTCTAAAGCTCTTCTAGAGTATCTGCAAGCATCGGCAAATTGACGACTGCTGACCAACATGTCTCAGTGAGTAGTTTTATGCTGCTTTGTCAAGTTGAAAGCCATTCGGCGTTGTTAAGCATCCCCTTCGATGACACACGGGCCATAATGCTAACTGGAGTTCTTTGGAAGCAGTCTCTACTCCACCGCATCCATGTGCGCAATGTCTTTCGGAGCCTGGCAGCGGCAGCAGCAGCAAAGGCAGGGTTCACCAGTCTGGAGGTAGCTGCGGCTTGGTGGCTAGGATTTCCCGTCTGTTGTTGTGGTCGGCTCAACCTGAGGATGCCAAGCTGCCGGCGGTCCAAAAGCCCGTTTGTAGTCAGCGCCCCGAAACCAACCGGAGAGCGTCTCGAAGCTTTTGAGTCGCGTGATGGTTTTGCAGATCACAGCATTGGTCGCACCCCGCACTAGCAGATGATTCCAAATTAGATCAGGTTTGCAGCGGGGCTTCTGCGCAGCAGAAGGTGGTGCCAGGCCACCCGTGGCAGGCGGGCGAGGTTCAGAAGGTTAGAGAGGCTCAGTCTTGAATCATGCGAGTACCTCCAGTTGCGTTTCGCAGCCTGCCACAGGCGTGGCACCGTGGTCCTTTCGTGCTGCCAGTGGTCCCCAAGACGAGGCGCCAAGCTTTGCCTGTGAGCTTGGTGCAAACGCAGAGGCTTCACTTCCGTGGACCTTGCACACTCCAAGTCGATCTTTCTTGGATTTCCCAAGTCCGCAGACAAAACACAGAAACGCTCTGGGAAATTCCAACTCTGGCAGGCTCAGAAATGGAGCTTCGAGGAGCTCGATCAGTTTGTTTAGGGGAGACACCAAGCCAGTTTCTGGGTTGTTGCTTCAGTGCATGGTCGGGGGTCTGAGTTCGAGTTCGAGGGCTCAAGACTCTAGAGACTCCAGAGCGTTCTGGGACGTTCCTGATTCCATTTCCGGTTGACTCAAGTTCGGTGGAACTGAGATGGACTCAGCAGAGGAAGCCTTCGGCGAGGGGGCATCCACCAAAGCTTCCACAGTGGCGGGCTTGGCCTTGGGGATCTGCAACCAAGTACAATTGGGCTCCCGTCGCCAGTCTGTATGTAACTGCAGTCGCCTGGCTTAAAGAGTGATCTGGCATGAAGCAGAAGAGTGAAAGCCAAAAACATGCCAAGCTCAAGGCAACGCAGCGTAGCGGCCCCTGCCGGTAATCATTCTGCAGTACCATAGGACACGGAGGCTCACGGAGGCTTGTGGACACGTCCGCCACTGAACATGGGCCTCGTGAACGCTTGAAACGTTGGGGATTGAGTTCTCGGGGCCTCGGGGTTGACTTCAACGTCTCACGAGGTGCCCTCTTGTTTACAGATCCCCATGTAGTGCTGCAGAAGATCCAGAAGCACATGTCGTGAAGGCTGCACGAGCAAGGGAGACGTAGCAGTCTACATTCGCAGATGCTAGTCAGTAATGACTCAGCAATGGGAATGCGTTATTCTTTCTATCCGGAGCTTTAGGCCTGATGGCCACCCAGACGGTCGACGAGCGAGAACCTAGAATCAAGAATCAAGACCCATCCGTGGAAATGGCGGCAGTCACCTCACAAGTACCTTGCTGTTGCCTCCACCTGCCCAACACAAAAAGAATCAAAAAGAGAGTCACAAGAAGAAGGAGAAGAAGAAGAAACTCATTTCGGTCAGGTTTGCAGCGGTGCTTCTGCACCGTCTGCGAAGCTGAACGTGGCGCCAGGCAGCCACCTTTGGCAGGCGGGCGAGGTTCAGAAGGTTAGAGAGGCGCAGTATTGCAAACCCGGTGAAGTATGCGATGTATTTCCAGCTTAACCCGTAGACCTGAAGCCCTCCGCTGCCAACTCAGTGCCTGACACAGCCCAGTTGCAACGATCACGCCCAATTTCTTCCAATTTTCCACCGAGATCCAAGTTATGGAAAAGTCGTGGCTCCAGCCAAATGGGCCAAAAAGGGCCACAGTCTACTAAGTTCAAAGTTTCAGATGATGCCAGGACGCTGCGCGGAGCCCGACAGCGCAGGCGACAGGCGTGGGCAGCAAGGTGCGAAAGCCAATTTCTGAGCATTGAGCTATCTTGGAACCCCCCTCTGCATCCACAAAGAGCATTGAGCTGGCAAACTTGGGTTTGCTGGTTGGCTGCTGGGCTGGTTTTGTAAAGGTCTATAAGGTCTATTTCAGCAAGACGAAAGATCACTGTAGAATCACCGTGGCGTTAGCCGCTAGGTGTGTGGAAATGTGTTCAAACCCAGATTCTGCACAGGTCCGAACAAACAGAATCACTACAGTGCAAACTGGTACTTGGAATCCGGGCGGGCGAGTGCCGCTATCGGCATGCAAATTTGGGGTCTGGGGCCAGTTGAAGGAAGAGGGCGAAGCAAGGCCCAGAAGCAACGAAACACGATAGTGCAGAAGTGATACTTGATTCCTTGCGGTCAAGTGTCGCTGTCGGCATGCAAAGTTGGGGGTCAGTTGAAGGGGCGTAGGAAGTCCCAGAATCAAAGAATCACTACAGTGCAGGAGTGATATTTTAATGGCTGATTGGCTGATTGGCAGCCGCACAGTTTGCGTCTAGCAAGCCGCGCAAACTGCAAAAGGGCTTGAGACCTCCTGTGCTCAAGATCTTTTGTTGCGGTGGGTCCTCTTTGACAGCGTTCTGCGAGCGTGCACAGCTGCCCAGATCCAACGTCCGAGAATGTCCCCGACTGCCCGAAGCAATGCCTGAAGCTGGCCTAAAGGCTTAATCTGCCAAAGTTTTGCAGCTTGGATTGAGGGGGGTCTGGAATTATGTTTCTTTTTTTGGGGGGATTTGTTTTCAGTACTCAGTTTTCTCCATATTTGAATAGTAAAACCTTAGTTTGTTTGAATAGGGAAACCTCAAGTTTCCTGTAGATTTGAAATAGAAAGCCTCAATTTGTTCTAATTAAAAAAACACCTCTAGTTTCAATTGGAAACCTCTGTATATCTTGATAGGGAAAACTCCTACGTTCTTTAGATTTTGCCCCAACTTGAATAAGATAGCTTCTTTTCTCCATATTATTTCAATGGGAATCCTGTGTTTTGTCTTTGTATTCGACTAGGAAACGTTTCCATACATAAATAGAAATACATTTTGAGAGAGATCTTTGTTTAACCAGGGCAGCCTCCATTTTCAAGATATTCGCCCATTCCGCATTAAGGACAGGCCTATGCCAGCAAACCTCCAACCCCCAAACTTCTACAGTACGCTGAGACCCCAATCACCCCTAAACCTTGATTGCCGAAGCCTGTTATAAGTTCCAGAGCCCAAACCCAGAACCGGAGGTCCCGGTCACTGCAGCAACCTCCGCTGGACGAGGCGTGCACACCAAGGCCCTGATTGTACGCCCGTGATGCGCACTCCAAAGTGCTGCACCGGTCCCCCCCCCCACATTACCTTGTTATGTTTTGAGTGCAGTTGCTTCTGACGTGTGCAAGGTTCAAGTTCATGGCATTCGGTGAAGGGGTGCACCCACCGAAGCGTTCTAAGGAGCTTCCAGACTACATTCTGGGCGCAACGCTTGGCCAGCCCCCCGGTCGCTGCCTTTGCGTGCGACGCGAGCAGCACGATGCATATTGCCAGGAGTGGGCGCCTTCGGTAAGGTCAAGTTCGGGAGGTGGGACGTGCATGATAGGAAACAGTGTGGCTGATGCAGGCTGCGATTTGCCTGTGCCTGTGCCAGGCGCAAGCTCACGGCCGATCCGGTGGCCATCAAGATAATCGAGAAAGCCAAGGGCAAAAAGGCGAGGGTGTGCGCTCGCTGTGACGTTCGGAGGCTTAGCCAATTCCGAGACTGGCCGCGGCGTGTTCAGGCTTACATGCAGTACATCCTGCGGGAAATGCGCGTCCTGATGTGCGTGAGGCATCGCCGCCTTTTACATGACAAGTTAGCTGGCTGGGCCAGCT